ATGTTATTACCTCTGACTCTGAGTCAGAGCAGCGATCATGGAAGAGAGAACACAGGCAGACAGCGCTGGAAGCTGCTAATGCTCATCAGTAAATCAGTGGAAAATAAATAGAAATCATGATTCTCTCTGAGCTGCGTTTTAAAACGAACACGCACTCGTGTAAAAACAGATGTGTAAACTGAAGACTATTTGAGCTTTATTAAAACTATTTGCACTGATTTATTGTGTTGGTTACACTCATTTCGTGCGCCACTGATAATACTGCCTGACGCACACCTAAAATTCGAATGCAACATTTTTGCGTTTGAATGTGGATTTTTATTTTAAATTCTACGAATATTTGGAATTCGAATTTTGTTTTGACAGCCCTACTACAAACAGGTCCACAGATAGATCATTGAACTAATTTTAACATTCCACACATCAGGTAGACAGGCTCTCAGACAAGATAGGCAGAGCTGTTTGAGTTTGAAAAGGGGGCACAGGAAGTGAAGAGGGAAGTCACAGCATGCTCTGAATTTCCTGTTCCTCTTTCTATTGGTTCTCAAACTCTAATAGACATCAGTGTTGAGCTGAGACTGAGAGCAGTGGATCTGTTTGAATGCATTTAATCAATTTGCCTCATAACAGGCAAATTTGTTTGTTTGTGTAAGACAAGTGAAATAATGCAGACGAAGAAACAGATGAGTTCATTAATGCTGGTTCACTCTCTACTACTTTGCATTTGACACATCATGGTTATGCATAATTTATCTTTTTAGCATTTGTTAGAAGTTATCCCTGGCTTTGAGGCTTAGCGAGATGGGTTTATGCGACCCATTTTAATTTCATGTCAGTGCAGCGGTGCATTGAATATTAGTAAGACCTGCGGTTGAGATAAATGGAATGCTAGAACAGTGTAATGTGATAAGTGATGATTGCACAGACAGATCGGAGGACAAAAGGTTAGCAGCAGGTTTTAATAGTGCCACCTCATCTCGAACAGTTTGTCTACTTAGTGTCGTGAACAAGTAGTCATATACCAGACGCTTTTATCCAATGCAACTTAACCGCCACCTGCCCTGACCACATGCTGTCTTGTTCCACAGATGAAGGCGCTCTGGTTCGGGCAGCACAAAACCTGGGCTTCGTGTTCTCTGGGAGAACTCCAGACTGTGTTATTGTGGAGTCGGTAAGTAGAGACGTCCTGGGAATAGATGATGAGTTGCACTGGGAGCATGACTCACCCTCTGTCATGCTGCATAGCTCACTCACACTTTACACTCTGGAGAACTATTATAGGCAATTTGTACGGTACAGTCCCACTTCAACAGATCCATTATTTCCTTATTATAATGTATGATATAGAGGAAGCCATCATGGACCTGTGGCAACTTCATTTCATATACCGAGGCAATGAATAGCGAACATTCTTCCTGTCTGAAACAAATAACCCTTTGACGATTGGTAATACAGTGTTTTCTGTACTGCTCTTCGCCAGTATTGAATCTTAACAACAAAAATTCATGAATGAATTAGTAATGATTTACCAAAAAATTTAATTTGTTCAAATTAGTTTTTGCATTAGGTGTCATGAACAATCATTTATACAGCGTTTGCTAATTCATACAACTTGAAATGTTAAAGATGTACACTATCGCTTAAAAGTTAATACTTTAATACTTTTATTAAGCATGTATGCATTAAATTAGATCTTAGTGCTGTGTTTGACACTGTCGATCATAACATACTTCTAGAGAGACTGGAAAACTGGGTCGGGCTTTCTGGGATGGTACTCAAATGGTTCAGGTCATACTTCGAAGAGAAATGTTACTATGTGAGTATAGGAGAGCATAAGTCTAAGTGGACGTCCATGACATGCGGAGTCCTACAAGGCTCAATTCCTGCACCGCTCTTGTTTAGCCTGTATATGCTCCCACTAAGTCAAATAATGAGAAAGAACCAAATTGCCTATCACAGCTATATACATTGCAGATATGCTCACTGAATATAAACCTAACAGAGCACTCAGATTATTAGGATCGAGTCGGTTAGAAATACCAAGGGTTCACACAAAACAAAGGGAGTCCTCTTTTAGCTATTATGCTGCCCACAGTTGGAATCAGCCTCCAGAAGAGATCAGATGTGCTAAAACATTAGCCACATTTAAATCCAAACTCAAAACTCGTCTGTTTAGCTGTGCATTTATTGGATGAGCACTGTGCTACGTCCGAACTGATAGCACTGTATTTTATATATAATCATTTCCTATTTTTTACTGTTTTTAATTAATTTTAAATCAATTTTTAAATCATTTTAAAAGTTTTCAAATTCCTTGTTTTATTGTTGTGATTATTTTTTATGATTATTTTACTTCCTTTTATGAAAATCACTTTGAATTACCATTGTGTATGAGATGTTCTATATAAATAAACTTGCCTTGCCTAAATTTAACAAAAGAGACAGTAAAGACATTTACATTGCTACAAAAAATATACTTCAAATAAATTCTGTCCTTTTTAACTTTCTATTCATCAAAGATTCCTGAAAAAAAAAGTTTATTAACTAGATTAATTAGAGTAATTTAGAACTTAACGTAATGGCTGCTGAAAATAGCTTTACTATTACAGGAATACATTTTAAACAGTAGTCTATTAGTAAATTTTAGAAATGAACATTAACCAAAATGAATAAATTATGTTTTAGATTAAAAATGAACTTATTGTAAATTATATTTTAACCAAGTTGCAAGTTTGCAGACTGAATTGAATCTGATTAACAAAGAAATTATTCTTATGAGTTGGTTCTTTTACTGAAATGCTCCAAATTGCTCATAATATCATTTTAAATCAGACTAACACATTTATATATATATATATATACAGTGGCAAAATTAGAATTATGTTGGAAGCTGCTGTACTATATCATTAAAGTTTAGCTTGTCTTCAGATTCCTTTTTTATTAAAAATCAATGCTTCTTTTGATTTGAAAATAAGGAAGAGTTCACTTAGGAGAGATGCTGTATAGATATTTCAGGCTGGGTTTCACAGTATCGGATGTGATTTTCTCACCCTACATAATGTCTCAATGGAGAAGATCTGGGGAATGTGATGGTTTGATGCAGTTTCATGCAGTGCCTCCCCCCACCCCTCTGTTTTTCACTCTTTCTTTAGTTGCAAAAAAAAAAAAAGGGGAG